AAAATCCACAAAAATTCCTAAAAAAATGCCAAAAAAATTCCTAGAACTCAAACAAAAATCCAAAAAAAAATCCTAAAAAAATCCCCCCAAAAATCTCAAAAGATTCCATTAAACAACCTTTAAAAATCTTTTAAAAATCAAAAAAAAATCCTCAAAAAAATCCCTAAAAAATTCTCAGGTCTTCAAAAAAATTCCCAAAAATTCCCTGAAAAAATCCCCGAAAATTCCCTGAAAAAATTCCCAAAAATTCCCTGAAAAAATCCCTAAAAATTCCCCAAAGATCCCCTAAAAAAGCTGTAGAAATTTCCAAAAAATTCCTAAAAAAAACCCCAAAAAATCCCCCCAAAAAATTAAAAAAAAACCTAAAAAAAATCCTAAACAAATCCTAAAAAAAAACCCTAAAAATTTCCAAAAAAAAAATCCCTAAAAATTCCCCTAAAATTCTCAATTCCCCCCCCCCAAATTTTTCCCAATTTTTTCCCCATTTTGGGAATTTCCTTACTTCCTCTTTCTCTCCTCGTTTCTCCGGGAGCAGATCCAGGCTCCGACGGCCGCGGCCACCACGGAGACGCCTCCGGATATTCCAAGGATGAGGAGCAGAATTCCGGTGCCTGGAGCTGAATTCCTTTGTCCCACTGGAGAATCTGGGAATGAGAATTCCAAGAGAATTCCATGAAAACTTCGGGAAAGTAGAAAATTAATTTAATTGGGGTTTTTTTTTTTTTTTTAAAAAAAAAAAAAAAAAAATCCAAAAAAATTTGGTTTAATTTAAGTCAAAATTTTAATTAAAAGAGGTAGAAAATGGTATTAAAGTTGCTAAAGAATTCCCAAAAAAGTCCCAGGAAAATCCTCGAAAAAGCCCCCCAAAAATAAAACAAAAAATTCCAAAACAATTCCCAAAAATTTTCAAAAAGTAGCTGAAAAAAAATCTCTAAAAAGTTCCCAAAAAACTTCGTGAAAAATTCCATAAAAGCCCTAAAATATTCCCAAAAATTTCCCAAAAATTCTGCATAAAAACCCAAAAATTCCCAGAGAAAATCCCCCTAAAATTCCCTAAAATCCCCCATAAATTCCAAGAAAAATTCCCAAAAAAACTCCCAAAAATCTCAAAAAAATCCCCCCAAAAATGAAAAAAAAGTCAAAAAAAATTCCCAAAAAAATTCCTATAAAACCTCAAAAAAGTCCCCTAAAAGTCCCAAAAATTACCCAAAAAAATTTGCTTAAGCTTCCCCAAAAACCTAATAAAAATTGGATTAAAGTTGCTTTAAAGTGGTATTAAAAATCCTAAAAAATTCCCAAAGAAACCCCATGAAAAATTCCATGAAAACCCAAAAATGCTCCCAAAAATTCCCAATAAATTCCCCAAAAAAACCCCAAAAATTCCCAGAACATCACCCCAAAAATCCACAGAGAATCCCCCCAAAATATCCCCCAAAATCGCCAAAAATCCATTAAAAATTCCCCAAAAAGCCCCATTTAAAATCCCAAACAAATTAAAAAAAAACACAAAAAAATTCCCTTTAAAAAATCCCAAATAATTCCAAAAAATTCCCCATCAAATTCCCAAAAAAACTGATGAAAATTCCCAAAAAATCCAATTAAAATCCAAAAAAAATCCCAATTATTCCCCATAAAATCACCCAAAAAACTCACAAAAATCCCCAAAAAATCCAATTAAAATCCCCCCAAAATTAAAAAATTCCCAAATAACCCCCAAAAATTCCCAAAAAAAGCCTAAAAATTCCCAAAGAATCAAATTAAAATCCAAAAAAAATTCTCAAAGAAACCCCAAAAATCCCTTTAAAAAATTCCAAAATAATCCCAAAAGAAACCCCAAAAATACCTAAAAATTCCCCATAAAAATTCCCCAAAAAACTCCCCAAAATTCCCAAAATATCCAATTAAAATCCCAAAAAATAAAAAAAAACCTCATAAAAATTCCCACAAAATACTCCCAAAAAATCCAATTAAAATCTCTAAAAAATACAAAAATAACCCCAAAAAAAAACCCTTTAAAAATCCCAAATAATTCCAAAAAAATTCCCCATAAAATTCCCAAAAAAACTGAAAAAAATCCCCAAAAATCCAATTAAAATCCAAAAAAAATTCTCAAAAAAAATCCAAAAAAATTCCCAAATATTCCCCATAAAAATTCCCAAAGAAACTCCCAACAATTCCCAAAAAACTCAATTAAAATCCCCAAAAAATTCTCAACAAATCCCTAAAAAACCCAAAAAATTCCCCATAAAAATTCCAAAAAAACCTCCTAAAGTTCCCAAAAAATCCAATTAAAATCCCCCAAAAATTCTCCAAAAAATCCCCAAAATCCCTTTAAAAAATTCCAAAATAATCCCAAAAGGAATCCCAAAAAATTCCCCATAAAAAGTCCCAAAAGCTCCTAAAAATTCCCAAAAAATCCAATTAAAATCCCCAAAAAATAAAAAAAACCCTCATAAAAATTCCCCCAAAATACTCCCAAAAATCCAATTAAAATCTCTAAAAAATACAAAAATAACCCCAAAAAAAACCCTTTAAAAATCCCAAATAATTCCAAAAAATTCCCCATAAAATTCCCAAAAAAACTGAAAAAAATCCCCAAAAATCCAATTAAAATCCAAAAAAAGTTCTCAAAAAAAATCCAAAAATTCCCAAATATTCCCCATAAAAATTCCAAAAAAACCTCCTAAAGTTCCCAAAAAATCCAATTAAAATCCAAAAAAAATTCTCAACAAATCCCTAAAAAACCCAAAAAATTCCCCATAAAAATTCCAAAAAAACCTCCTAAAGTTCCCAAAAAATCCAATTAAAATCCCCCAAAAATTCTCCAAAAAATCCCCAAAATCCCTTTAAAAAATTCCAAAATAATCCCAAAAGGAATCCCAAAAAATTCCCCATAAAAAGTCCCAAAAGCTCCTAAAAATTCCCAAAAAATCCAATTAAAATCCCAAAAAAATAAAAAAAAAACCTCATAAAAATTCCCCCAAAATACTCCCCAAAAATCCAATTAAAATCTCTAAAAAATACAAAAATAACCCCAAAAAAAACCCTTTAAAAATCCCAAATAATTCCAAAAAATTCCCCATAAAATTCCCAAAAAAACTGAAAAAAATCCCCAAAAATCCAATTAAAATCCAAAAAAAATTCTCAAAAAAAATCCAAAAAAATTCCCAAATATTCCCCATAAAAATTCCCAAAGAAACTCCCAACAATTCCCAAAAAACTCAATTAAAATCCCCAAAAAATTCTCAACAAATCCCCAAAAAACCCAAAAAATTCCCCATAAAAATTACAAAAAAAACTCCTAAAGTTCCCAAAAAATCCAATTAAAATCCAAAAAAAAATCCCCAAAAACCCCTTTAAAAAATCCCAAAAAATTCCAAAAGTTTCCCATAAAAACTCCCAAAAAATCCAATTAAAATGCAAAAAAATTCTCAAAAAAATCCCCCCAAAAAAATAATAAAAAAATCCAATTAAACCCCAAAAAAATTTAAAAAAAATCCCAAAAATTCCTTTAAAAAATAAAAAAAAATTTCAAGGATTTCCCATTAAAATTAAAAAAAAATCCAATTAAAATCCAAAAAAAATTTCTCAAAAAAACCCAAAAATCAACCCCAAAAATCAAAAAAAATCCATTAAAATCCCAAAAAAATCCCCCAAAAAACAAAAACAGTTAAAATCAAAATAATTCTAAAAAAACCTAAAAAATCCCTTTAAAAAAACCTAAAAAATTTCCAAAAGATTCCCAAAAAATTCCCCAAAAAAGCTCCCAAAAATTCCAAAAAAAATCCAATTAAAATCCTAAAAAAATACAAAAATAACCAAAAAAAATCCCTTTAAAAATCCCAAATAATTCCAAAAAATTCCCCATAAATTCCCAAAAAAACTGATGAAAATTCCCAAAAATCCAAATAAAATCCCACAAAAATTTAAAAAAAAAAAAACCAAAAATCTCTTTAAAAATTCAGAAAAAATCCCCAAAAATCCCTAAAAAATTCCCCATAAAAATTCCCAAAAAAATCGAAGTAAAATTAAAAAAAAAACCTAAAAAATCCCCAAATAATTCCCAAAAAAACTCCTAAAAATTCCCAAAAAATTCCCCATAAATATTCCCAAAAAAACCCCTTAAAATTCCCGTAAAACTCCCTCAAAATTCCCAAAAAACCCCACAATTCCCAGATTTTTTTGGGGATTTACCATTGAGGCTGCTGCGATCGATGTCCAGGGGCCAATAGGATCCGTCTCCATGGCGACCTGAGAAAATTCCAGGAAAAATTGGGAATATTTTGGTGAAATATTCCCAAAATTATTCCAAAATTCTGGAGAAAAATCTCATTAAAAAGCACAAAATTCCTTTTAAAATTCCCCGAAATTCTGGGAAATTTGGAATAAATTTAAGGAAAAAAAGGGGAAAAATTGGGAAAATTCACTTTAAAAATTCCCAAAAATTTCAGAAATTGGGGAAGAAAATCCAGGAAAAAAATTAAAAAAAATTCCTTTTAAAATTCCAAAAATTTGGGGAAATTGGGATAAATTCCAGGAAAA